CCTTTACCATTATGTAATGGCCTTCTTTGTCTCTTTTGATCTTTGTCGGTTTAAAGTCTGTTTTATCAGAGTCTAGGATTGCAACCCCTGCTTTGCTTTATTGTTTGTTTGTTTTCCATTTTCTTGGTAGATCTTCCTCCATCCCTTTATTTTGAGCCTATGTGTGTCTCCGCATGTGAGATGGGTTTCCTGAATACAGCACACTGGTGGATCTTGACTCTTTATCCAATTTGCCACTCTGTGTTTTTGAATTGGAGCATTTAGCCCATTTGCATTTAAGGTTAATATTGTTATGTGTGAATTTGATATTGTCATTATGATATTAGCTGGTTATTTTGCTCGTTAGTTGATGCAGTTTTTTCCTAGCGTCGATGGTCTTTACAATTTGGCATGTTTTTGCAGTGGCTGGTACCGGTTGTTCCTTTCCATGTTTAGTGCTTCCTTCAGGAGCTCTTGTAAGGCAGGCCTGGTGGTGACAAAATCTCTCAGCATTTGCTTGTCTGTAAAGGATTTTATTTCTCCGACACTTATGAAACTTAGTTTGGCTGGATATGAAATTCTGGGTTGATAATTCTTTTCTTTAAGAATGTTGAATATTGGCCCCCACTCTCTTATGGCTTGTAGAGTTTCTGCCGAGAGATCTGCTTTTAGTCTGATGGGGTTCCCTTTGTGCATAATCTGACCTTTCTCTCTGGCTGCCCTTAACATTTTTTCCTTCATTTCAACTTTGGTGAATCTGACAATTATGTGTCTTGGAGTTGCTCTTCTCGAGGAGTATCTTTGTGGCGTTCTCTGTATTTCCTGAATTTGAATGTTGGCCTGCCTTGCTAGGTTGGGGAAGTTCTCCTGGATAATATCCCGAAGAGTGTTTTCCAGCTTGGCTCCATTCTCCCTGTCACTTTCAGGCACACCAATCAGATGTAGATTTGGTCTTTTCACATACTCCCATATTTCTTGGAGGCTTTGTTTGTTTCTTTTTACTTTTTTTTTTCTCTAAACGTCTCTTCTCACTTCATTTCATTCATTTGGTCTTCAATCACTGATACCCTTTCTTGCAGTTGATCAAATTGACTACTGAAGCTTGTGCATGCGTCATGTGGTTCTCGTGACATGGTTTTCAGCCACATCAGGTCCTGTAAGGTCTTCTCTACACTGGTTGTTCTAGTTTGCCATTCTTCTAATCTTTTTTCAAGGTTTTTAGCTTCTTTGCAATGGGTTCGAACTTCCTCCTTTAGTTCGGAGAAGTTTGATTGTCTGAAGCCTTCTTCTCTCAACTCATCAAAGTCATTCTGTGTCCAACTTTTTTCCGTTGCTGGCAAGGAGCTGCGTTCCTTTGGAGAAGAAGAGGCGCTCTTATTTTTAGAATTTTCAGCTTTTCTACTCTGTTTTCTCCCCATCTTTGTGTTTTATCTGCCTTTGGTCTTTGATGATGGTGTTGTACAGATGGGGTTTTGGTGTGGATGTCCTTTCTGTTTTCCTTCTAACAGTCAGGACCCTCAGCTGCAGGTCTATTGGAGTTTGCTGGAGGTCCACTCCAGACCCTGTTTGCCTGGGTATCACCAGCAGAGGCTGTAGAACAGTGAATATTGCAGAACAGCAGATGTTGCTGCCTGGTTGTTCCTCTGGAAGCTTCGTCTCAGAGGGGCACCTGGCCGTGTGAGGTGTCAATCAGCCCATACTGGGAGGTGCCTCCTAGTTAGGCTACTCAGGGGTTAGGGACCCACTTGAGGAGGCAGTCTGTCTGTTCTCAGATCTCATACTGCATGCTGAGAGAACTACTACTCTCTTCAAAGCTCAGTTGGAAATGCAGAAATCACCTGTCCTCTGTGTCGCTCATGCTGAGAACTGTAGTCTGGAGCTGTTCCTATTAGGCCATCTTGGAATCTCCTCTATGTGTTTGTTAAATAGAGAACAAATAGAAACCTATATGTATGAAATTATAAAACATGTATACTTTCTAAATAATATATGGTTATATATTTTATTTATTAGTGGCTTTAAATTTATGGTAAATAGTTATCAATAAATGGGATTTAGAGGTTAGATGGATGTCTTTCTGGCAGCTTGCAGATCATTGTCTTTCTCTGGGTCAGTATACTCTTTGGGTGCAGTGATCCCCAGATCTCTTTCCTCACTTCTCTGACAGTCTGTCTTTCCGTCTTTCTGCAAAAACTAGCTTCTTGTTTTACTGAGAAAATATAAGCAATCAGAATACAAGTTGCAATACTCCCACTGACCTGCGTATAAGATCATAGACTCTACTTTCCCTTTGTTTACATAGATGAACTTTCTGTGCTTTTGTCTAAGGCCTGCTTTTCCACTTAGGTACCTGGATCCCTTTCCCTTTTTTTCTGCAAAAGAACATTCTACCAGCTAATGAACAGCCCTCTACCTCCTACATCTTCCCTATGCTACATCATTCCCATCATTAGAGAATTATTCTGTCTTATCTCCTGTCATTTAAAAAAGTCTTCCATTGGACAACAGTTTCTCTAGCAGCCTCTCCATTCCCGTTTCCCTTTACAGAAATTCCCTTCTCTCCATTTCACTCCTTCCCTTCTCTCGAAACCAATTAAGAGAGCTAATCAAACTGTTATCCTCACTGTTCTATTGAAGCAATTTTTGTCAGGGTCACCAGTTAATTCACATCACTAAATCACTAAATTCAGTTGGCTTCTGTGTCATCATTCTTTCTTAATTATCTCTTAGTTTTCCCTGACCACTGTCAATATCCTTGGTGGTTCTGTTGCCCTGACCACTAAATTTGAAAGTGTTCCAGGGCTCAGTGTGTGGACTCCTTTTTTTCTCCTATTGCCACTCACTCTCTGGGTCACCTTTTCAAACTCTGTGGTTTTAAATGTAATCTGTAAGTGGTTCTTGCTGTAAGATTTTTTTTTGTTTAACAATCTGGACCTTTCTAATGATCCTAGACCTTCATACCCATTTGCCCACTCAACACCTCCACATGGATTAGTAATAGGCATATTAAATCTAACACGTCAAAACAAAATTCCTGATGTACACTGCAGCCTACTACCCTAGTAATTTGCCTGCTGTTACATATGGCAACTCCATCTTTCCACTTATTCAAGCCAAATCCCTTGAGATTTTCTTGTCTCCTATATTTCTCTTATAGCAAAATATCTATTCTGTCACCAAATGCTGTCGTTTTTACCTTCAACATCTACAGGGTCCAACAATATCTCACCATACTTGTACATGCACACATACACTCACACACAGACAAAAATATGTATGTGAACGTATAGTTTTTACTACACGTCTTGGCTGAATTCCATTAGTCTCTCTAATGTTTTTGTAGCTTCACCAGTTGCCTTAAAAGATTGTAACAGCAGAGTATCTAAGTAGAATTTAGCAGCATGTTGTCTTAAATTTATAAAATAGCAAAAATAGCAGCATGTTGTCTTAAGTTTATTATAGGTTCATTGACTACACAGAATCACATTTATACCTTTTCTAGTACAGTTGCAAGACATACTGTTCTAGATGTGTTAGGGTGAAGCATTTATTTACATTTTACTAGATCAAGTGCTACATTTACCTAGGTAAGTAAAGAACCTAAAATGAAGTATTACCTATATTAGGCTCAAAATGGTTGTAAATTCTAAGGAAAATCAATGTGATGGTGGTTCTACACATATTTACTGCTGGGCAAAGTACCACGAATGCTTCATTTTACTGAAACTGTCCATTATATATTAAAACAATACTGTGAAAACTCTGTTACTTAAAATATATAATGCTTTTTAAACCAGAGAGAAGAATACCATCTTTTGAATAGGTTTACATTTTAAAGTAAATATGAACACTTATGTATAATAATTATAATACTGTAGAATGCCTTGTAACAAGGTATATGATTTTCTTTTAGGTGTTTTAAGTTTTGCATTTTTCTGGTTAATGAGTAATGGAGTCCATTGTAGAAAGTTTCACTTTTCAGAAATCTGTGAGGCTTTAAATAGCAGATGTTTTCTATAACCACAGACTCTTTTGCAACTTGCATTTTACACACAAAAGTTTATATTGAGCCACTTTTCATTTCAGTAAAGATGTATTGGTGATGCACAGTATCCCATAGTGTATATATGTCATAATTTATTTAATCTCCCATGAAAGCACCTTTGGGTTTGTTTTCAAGATGTTTGGTCTTTAAAGCTGAATTAAATAATGTATGTGTTATTCTCTACACTTTGGCTGGCATGATTCACTCTCAAAAAATGGAAGTTGACAGATTCATGGACATTAACATTTTTGTATATTTTGCCATCTTACTATCTAAAAGGTTGTATTATGTTGGATATTTTCCTCAACAAGTATTAAAAAACTTTGATTTTCCCACATCCCTGCCCAAAATGTGCTCTTTATTAATTATTATTTTTCCCTATCTTATCTGTGAAAATGCATTAATTCCCTTCAATTTGCAGTCATTTAACCGTAAGTGATACTAGAATGTCTTTTACATACGTATATTGCCATATATTATCTTCTTTGTGAATTGCCAAACTACATGTTTTATGCACTTTTCATTTTTCTTTTTAATTTATGAGAGTTTTCTGTAGATACATGATTATGAAGTTCTTAGAATATTTAAAATAGTAAAACATTATCAAAGAACACAAAGAATAACTATTTCTGTGTATGCCAATAAAATTACTTTTCCAACTGAAACATACTATTTAGAAAAGTCTTGTTTTGCTGTAGTCATAGAAGAGGATTGTCACACAAACAGCTGAATTATCATCATAGGGCAATACATTCATTTTATTAAGTATGCCAAATAAACAGACATGTCTTATTTTCACACTTGTGGGAAATTGAGTGTATCTGATCCCCAGGAGTTATTTTCTTATGCATATAAACTTTTTCCTTCTTTATCATTACTCTCTAAGCTTTGTGTTATTTACATACTGATCAAATAATATAATAATAATGTTTCATTGCTGTCAGTAATCATGTTTTGCTTGTTTGTTTTATGGAAGGTCTATGCCAGAAAGGAGGCCTTGAAGGGAGGTTTAGAGAAAACTGTAAGCCTCCAGAAAGATCTATCAGAGATGCACGAATGGATGACACAAGCCGAAGAAGAGTATCTTGAGAGAGATTTTGAATATAAAACTCCAGATGAATTACAGAAAGCAGTTGAAGAGATGAAGGTAAAAAAAGGGAAAACTAAGTAAAACAAAGCAAATAAATGGAAAAAGAAATGCAGCATTGCTTGAAATTGTATACGGTATGCTCTTTCCTGGTTCTAAGAGAAGAGGTTGATTTTTAATTAATAATTTTAATTAATTTAGCTTCAAGTTTAATCTGTGTTTTAACAGTCTTAAACTGTTTAATTTTAATGCATTGTGGTCAATTATGAATATTGAAAATCACAATTTGAAAGAATTTTCCCTTGAAATCATATAGTATTAAGAGAGCAGAATCAACTCATCACATTAGCTGTCTGTAGCTGATGTAAATGCATGTTGAAACTGTGCAAAAGTATTCTTGAAAAGGCAAATTTACAATGTAGTCAACAAACTGTGTTAATTTGGTATTTTAAAGGCGTTTCTTAGAATTTGGTAGCACTAAATATTTGAACCCGTAGCCTTTAATATGGATAGAAAGGACTGAGTTTACATGTACTTTTCTTGGAGCAATAGAACAAAATGTAACATTGACTTACGACCAACGAAACTGGTATGTAGTATGGATTTGGAGGTGAAGCCTGGAGTTGAACCTACACCGTGGCATTTTGTATGGCCTTGGGCAACTCAGTAGTCAATATAATCCTCTATTTTTTCGTGTTTATGTCATCATACATCCTCACTTGAATGTATGAACTGTTGATTGAAACTAACATGTAAATAAATTGCCTAACTCAGAGTTGGTGCTCAGTTAGTAGCTATAATCATAACTATTATTTTTATGTACTAGCAAGAACATAGAGAATAACATGTGAAATATTAATACTGTAGATCTTTGTTTGGTTCAAGGATTGTGACAAGGAAAAATCATTGTGGAGCCAGATACTTGAGTTTAAAACTTAGTTCGGCCCCATGCCAACTGTATAAATTTGGATGAGTTACATAAGCTTACTGAGCCAAATTCCTTTATTTGTGAACTGGGTATCAGAATGTCTGCTTTCAGAATCATTAGAGGGATGAAATACGAAGTTTCTATCACAATGCCTAGCACAGTATAAATGATCATGACTCGTTATTTATTATTTTAATTGTGAAAAGGGCCAAATGGTAAAAAATTGTCTACTCTGTTATATAATTTATATAGTAATTCAGAAATATTTATTATAGTTAATTGTGGAAAGTAACTCACATGAAAACTCAGATGTTTAAATACCGAATCTATCATATGGCTTTAGTCAAATGTTGAAAGTATCTAATATACTCCATAAATATGTATAAATATTATGTATCTATAAAAAACTATAATGAAGAAAACATTTGTACAAATAGTAATCATTTCTAGAGTATGAAAAAAACAAAATTAATCTAGCAATAACGTATTCATCAACTAAAACTTACTGCGTTCTTACTATGTGCCAAACACCCTCTAGATACTGAATATAGAGGGTAGTGAGCAAGACCACTGCCTTGGAATTTACATTCTAGTGTTCTAGCATGTGGTGAGGAGCAGGCAATAATTGGAAAAATAAATGAAATCGTTTGAGGTGACGATAATTTGCCTAAAAGTAAATCTGGATTTTGAGATCAAGAATGAACAATGTTCAGGCAGGAGTTGAGGGTGGTAGGATGCTATTTTTGAAAAACTTGACTTGTAGAGATTTTATGAAGAATTGTATGTAATACGAGAGAAATGAATTCTAAGGAAAAGAGCATTTAAAAAAATCTTAATGGAAGCACATTGTAATCAGAGAGCATAGCTTCTGCAAAGACCTTGAGGCTAATTGGGGAGAGAAAGAAGTCTGTCTGCCTGAAGGAAGGAAAACGGGATAACATCTCAGATAAGTCTTATGAGGTAGGCAGATGTCTGTTAACAAAGGAGTTTTGTTAGAATATTACAGTTGTTATTCTAAATGGAATAGAAAAACCATTGGAGTATTTCAAAAGAGAGACCAAAATAATTTAAAATTTGACTTTGGGGAGGTCACCATGAGGAAAACTTTATCAGAATGTGAGAGGTAGAAGGTACTTTGAAAGTAGTGTAATCCACACTTCTCTCTGTACTTATCAGAAAACTGTAATTCCCAGATAGGTCAAATAATGTAGCCATAGTCACAGACTTTATTTGCGATAGAGCCCACAGGATTGAAGGTATTTTATTCTATTTCATCTCATCCTTTACTTTCCTTTCTCCTTTCTCCTTTTTCCTTTCCTTTCCTTTGAATTGTGTGTCACTCATACGAACTTTCCTCTTGTATCTCAATTTCTTTATTGTCTGTTCTCACTGTATCTATTTACGTATGGCCACTACCTCAGATCCCTGAGTAGATTATATAGTCATTTGTGTTCAGCTGCTCTGATTCTCCTTGGGTTCCTTTGGTTTAGTCTCTCTTCTGGCCCTCTTCCCTCTCCCTATGAGCAATTTGCCTATCTCACCAACAACCCAGTCAGATCTCTCTTAATTTTCTGTGCTCTAGAGGAAACTGTCTCAAATTTTTGATATTTGAAAACCATCCTTGAAATGAGTGTTCCAACAAGTTTGTCTACATTCATTGACATGTTTTCATAATTGGCCTAGCTACAAAATTGGTTTAGTGTGGGGGTCATAGTAAGAAGAGGTAAACTCTGGAAGCCTCTGGCAACAACCATTGAAAGAGTTGGCAGGAAGATTTCATTTCTTGATTTTCCAGCCTGCTACTCAAGACAGTCTCTTTATGTCAACTTCACTACCTGGAGGTTAGCAATAGTACCTTGTCCAGACTTCCACCTGTGCTCATTTGATAGCTAATTTTTCTTTATTGTCAGAAGATACTAACAGACCTACTCTGACATCTCTCCCTGATACTCAAAGAAGAAATAGAGACCTCCTTCTGTTTATGTTCTTTCCTGTATTTTACTTGAAAATGAAAGTGCTGTTTTGATAACTTATTTTTCCCCTGAAAGGAAAACTTTTTTTGACATAAAAGAACCCAGGGCAGTGTATGATAAACAACCTCTGATTTTAAAACTTTTATGGAGATCAGCAATGACTATATGCTAAAACTTTATACTAAAGCCCTTTGAAAAACAATCTGGAAATGTATTAATTGTTTTTATTTTTTTAAATTTTTATACTATCAGAACTCTAGTACTAGTGCTTGCCAGAACTTGCACATAAAGTGAGAATAGTAAATACACAAATACATTTGTATAATCATTTCAGCAGTGATTCCTGTACCTGAATGGACATCAAAATCACCTGGAAGACTTGTTTAATACACAGAGTGCTGGGCCCTGACCCCAGAATTTCTGATTCAGTGAGTCTGGGGTAAGGCCTGAAGTTTTCCATTTTTAACAAGTTTCAGTTGATGCCACGGAACAAGTTCTAGAGTGATTCCAAGGACGCTGACTTTAAGAAGCACTGGTGTGAAATACTAGCAATGAAAGACGGCAGAGCATATCATAGTTAGATTCATGGAAAGAAACAGCCACCGTTTTTATGAGGATTTGTGTCGAAACTGTACCAGTCATTTAACTTTCTACCTTTTCTCCTAGTAGAGAAATTCATCATCATCTCCTTTCCTCATATGTACCTGGGTTAATACATTTTGCTCTTCCTTCTCCGAACCTTTCCCAAGATCTCAGCCTCTTATTAAACAAGAATATATGAAGCCTAAAAACCAGGGAAAGAAGTGTTCTTCATTCTACATTTTTATATAATTGCTTGGGTTATTTATAATGAGTATAAATTGTAATTTTATTCATTGGACTGACTACAACATGCTCCTTCCTCAGCTCATGGAACATTTGACACCAGCTTAACAGAAACTGTGAGAAAGAAAGGATGTAACTCTGAGGATGATTTCCTTAAACTCTCTGAACCTCAGTTTTCTGGTGTCCAATATAGAGATAACAAAACACATCTGAGAAGGTTTGGTTAAAGATCTAATGAAGTAGCACTTATCACATGGCTGGCACAGAACACGGTAGCACATATTAAATGATGAATGGTAATCAAACTTGTTGATTATACTGTAATTACTAAAGTCAAAATACAATTTGTGTGAAAACAAACTCTATGCTCAGTGATGCCAAAAAGCTGGTTTATTTAGAATATTAAACTAAAGATTTCAATCAATTAAAATCGGTGAAGGTAAACATTCTTTAGGCAAAACAATTTGCATTTTCTGACATAATGCACAATTTTAAGGAATTGTAGGGCTAAATCCAAAGGAGTAGGATGATTATGTTGACACATACAAAGGCATTTTATAGCTGACCTTACCCATAACCTGCCCTTAAGCCCTTACCTTGACCACTACTCAGGCCCAACTTCTGCATTATAGAACCTGTGTTTGTTTACTCGAGGGCTTTCTGTGACCACTGAATCCCACTTTTGCACTTGTGTGGTAGGCTTGCAAGTACTGGGAAATTAACATTTCCCCAACAGCCTTCAACAATTAGGGAAGATGATTCGGAAATAATACCCCAATTCCTGCACCCCTGAACGGGATAACCCGCAGGCTTATATTTCTCAGGACTTTCTAACAGGATTAAACTCCAGTCATTAACAGTGATTAATAAGTATGCCCATATGGATCTCTCTTCCCTTTCTTGTCTCAATTCCCCATTCAGCTACCAGAATTTCTTTCACATGGAACATGTATATAAACTACTTACATTTGAAAGCTAATGTCAGGTTTGACTCCTGGAGGAACACAGACTAAAGATACAGTGTGTATGTGTGTATGCGTCTAAAATACATGTACACATTTGAAGTTAAGGAGTGTAAATGGCTCCCAACCAAAGACCACCACCAACTCTCTTGTAGCTGAACAAGTTGGGTTCATTACTTTTTGCAGTGAGAGAGAATACACAACATGGAGGCCGGGAGGTATGTGAGGATGAAAAAACAAACAAACAAACAAACAAAAAAAACTTTGTAGGAGTTGTGCTTGTGTTAGGAGATTTGAAGGTGGGTTTAAAAGCTTTACTTTGGATTGTTTGTCATTAGTGTGTGGGGATAGCTCTATGAGTATGGTATCTTGTCCAGAAGGAGAGAAGACCAGAATGAGGCTAAAGTTGTAATTGATAAAGAAGCAGCATTCATTCATATTAACCAGGATAGGGGAGAGTTGAGCATTTTGTGGTTTGGGTAATGTTGATGTTTTTGTCTGGATTCAGACATGATTATGGAATGATCTTGTCGTGGTCTTGATCCATTATGGTAACAAAGTGGCCTTTTCCAATGTAGAAATTCTGTGAAACAGTATATTTTCCACTGGAGAAGACCAAGGAATAGCTGGGTATCAGGCCAGCTTCTGATATCAGGGGCTCCTTTTGGATTTCTCTTTCTCTCATGTGTTTTCAATTCTTGAACAAAACTTTCTTTTATCAAAATATGTTCCTAAATATAGCATTAAGGGGACCTTTCTATGTTAAGTATCCTTTGACTTAAATGATATTTGTGATGGTTTCAATATTGTTCATCCAAGTAATTTATAAGTGATTTTGATTCTAGACTGCCAGATATTTTTTAACCTAGTTAATATCGAAATATTTGCTTTTTGCCTTTTCCAAACAATTGTATTTATATCGATATGTATATATTTGACCACAAATGCATACTCCCATGAAGACTACTTTTCAATCTATTCTTGTTAAAGATCTGTTGTATTTTCATAAAAATTTATTTCTTTAACTTTCCAATTTCAACTAAAAACTTTATGGAAGAGACTGGAGTCCATATGAGATTTATTTTTGTAAATCTCATTCTAACTGGGATGTTGTGAGGAAGAAATTATATGATACATATAAATGCATTTTGGATGTAAAGTTATTTTCTTGCTATTAACAGAGCATTCTTTACTTTTCAGAGAGCTAAAGAAGAGGCCCAACAAAAAGAAGCGAAAGTGAAACTCCTTACTGAGTCTGTAAATAGTGTCATAGCTCAAGCTCCACCTGTAGCACAAGAGGCCTTAAAAAAGGAACTTGAGACTCTAACTACCAACTACCAGTGGCTCTGCACTAGGCTGAATGGGAAATGCAAGACTTTGGAAGTCAGTTGCTTTTCTTTGTCTTTATCAATTATATGTCAATACATGGTCATATAGGAGGCATAGTGGTTAAGAACATGGATTCTAGCGTAAAACAACTTTGGCCTGAATTCCTCATGCAGGCACTTATAAGTTGTATGACTTTGGGCCATTTGCTTAACTTGTATAAACCTGTTTCCAGTCTGTAAAATGGACATAATACATAATTCATAAGTTGAGAAAATTAAATGAGCTATTCCCTTTAAAGTACTTAGCCCAGTACTCAATATATGTGAGTAGCTATGCTTCTAATTCTCATTTCTATTATTATTAGGTCATAAAATCCTATAAATACATTTTCTCCAGATTTATAGACAATGATCTTTATTTTTTCCTATATTTGTATGTACATAAACTTATTTAAGTATCTTAGAGGAAAAGCATTCTGTAGAGAAGTATATTTTTACTATAACTGTCTTTAGTAATGTCTGTGCCCCATAGAGTTCTTTGTTAGACATGTTACCTAACCAGCTCTATATTTTTTGATGTTTTGCATTATGTTTATTTATTATCACAAGTTCTGCTTTAACTTTTATGGATACCTTACTGTCTAGATTATGCTTATCTGAATTTAGATAAAGCAGGTGCCTCAAATGATTGCCATGTAATTGCATCAAAAATAAGCTATGACCTTTCTTATGAAAATACTGCACCAAGGGGCACAAAACTTTATCCACTACAAATGCTGATGCTGCCAGACATTGCATATGAGTTGAACTTTAATCCCCCTTCCTTCACACAGACTGAGTTATTTTTGTGAATATAGTTAATAAGGTGTTCAGGTACCCCTTTACTTTTGAAAACATTATTTAGTTTGCTTCATCTGTTGAGTGTTTGAGATTTAAAGACAGACACAATTCAGATCATTAATAAAGTACACCTTTAAAAATATTTTAAAATGTATTTGTTGCTAAAGTACCCCATATATTCCCATACAGTATTATCATTTTCTAATTGTAAAATGTGATCTGAGTTTCTCCATTGTCAGTTCTAAACTCTTCTTTACTTTTCCCTATTCTTTTCTTTTAAATTCAATTCACTCCTCAGACTCTTGAAAAGTGGCTTCTATATGTCAGGAAATATCATAGTTTCTGAGTATATAAAGACGTATCTCATGTATTAGTGTTATGTGAGTGCTATATAAAATATAACAAAGAATGGGAAAGGAAAGGGTGTGATGGCACTGTACATGTCTCAAGAAAAACTCAATTAATTCACTAACATGTTACAATAGGGAGGGATTTTTTGTACCCAGGAAATGCTTTCTGTCAATATTTAAACACCTACTATTACTTTCTTATGTTCTTAATGTCCTTAAATAAGCATCATTGTTCCCTATTATTCATGTTGTTCATTTAAATGATACTCTGTGATTCATTAGAAATTTATATTGAAGTATATTTTCCAAAGGGATTTTTTTTAAGTTTTTATATTAATAACACAATTTTCAAGACCAATTATTGGATTATTTTTCCATTTCCTTCTCATCTATAATGACATTTCTAACATTGCCTATTCGTATTGAAGTTATCAAATTATTTAGTTCCATTTTATTCCTTTTCCACTGGTTTGGAATATATACTTTATTTTATCTTATAAATATTTCTCTATACCTCTCTAACAATAATATGGTGGAAACATTAGCATGGTTTAACTCTGAACCTACCTCTTCCATTTTCCACATTATTGTTGCCTCGTATTTCATTTTCACCTTATTTCCCCCAAATTAGTCATATAATTGCTGTTGCTGCTGATATTGTTTTAACTATTTCATATATTTATTTAGATTTACCGATGCTATTTTCCCAATTTTTGTGACCAGTTTTGCCTTTTGTTCTTCCCTTTGCTTCTGTGTTCAGTTTCTTTCTTGCTCTTTCCTTGAGTGTGAGTAGCAAATATGTTCAGATTTTTCATATTGAAAATGACTTTATTTTGCCCAGAGTATTGGATAATGATGTAGTTGAGCAGGTAGTTATGTGAGGAGAGTTTTTTTTTTTTTTTTAACAACACTGAAAATACTATTTTTCTTCTGAAATATTTTCCCTTTAAGAAATCTGTCAAGTTATTGTTTCTTTATCATTTTCTCTGGTACCTTTAAATTTTCTCTTTGTTGTATATGCTCTGCAGTTTCACCCTATTTTGTCTTCTACAGTTTCATTCAACTTTGTCTATGTGTAAATTTGCTTTCATTTATACTTTGTCACTTGGTGTGTTAACTAGAACAGATGCATTGTTTCTTTAGTGGTTCTGCATTATCTTTGTGAAGATTTTCTTTTTCCCAATCTCTTCATTCCTTCCTAAGGGAAAACTTTCTTATAGCTATTAAGAGTATCCCCTTCCTATATTCCAGTTACTGGTTTCCCTTTAATATTATCTATATTCTTATCTCTATCTGCTCAGTTTTGGATAGTTTTCTAAAATCTGTCTTCCAACTCTCAAATTCTCACTTCAGCTGCCTATGGCATAATTTATCCTTCAATAGAGAAATATTCTCATCTTTATCTGTATATATATTTATCTATCTATATTTATGTGTGTGTATATTTTTTGAAAAACATATTTTCCATTTGTCAGTATTTTATTGAGTTGTTTCACAAATATGTTCTTTGTTATGGCTTTCTTCTTTTGTGTAGTTAATTCTATGTATTCCTTTAAACAACTTAAACAGATACTATCTGTTTGAGACGTTTCAACTTAATGAGTAATAAACATGAAACAGTCTTATTTTTTCAATAACTACACCTAACTGTCAAATTTCACTTTCTGCCTGGTAGTTGGCTGCTTAAACAATATTTCTTTCTGATCTCATTACTTTTTATTCACTTTTAGTTATTAAAATTTAATTTAAATTTAAGTATCATAATGTATTCAAATGTATCACAAGTTTAAATTAATCTGTTGCTTCAGCAATTTATACAGAGGCAGGAATGAGAATAAATAGTCTCACAGGGTCCTCCTCCAACCTAGTTTCTGGATATGGATCTACTGTTGATATAAGGGAAGATGAAGAGGGAAAAATACTCTCTTCATGTGAATGTCCTTATTTTGGCTGCCCACAATTGCTGTTCCCTTTTGTTAAAACCCACACACATCTGTAATGCCTAGTCTGTTGTCCCTTTTCTATATGTTATCACCACTGACCTGGATCATTCTCTATAGACTTGATTTATTCTGTTGAGGATCCAAATGGGCCTTATTCTTATGAGCTTTGAACCCCGCAAAAAAGATCTCTTAGGCATTTATAGTACCTCATAGTGTTTAACAAGAATTTCAAGGTGACACTTGTCAACTGCTTTAAACAAAATGCTCTTGAATATTATATCTTTTTTACCAATGCTTTAGTGATGCCCTGAAGTCTAATTTACCTACCATATCTCAACTCAGAGCCTGTGGGCACTGGAAGTACCCATACTCCATACCTTTCAGGAATGAGAAATTTGAAAGAGTTGTTTTTGATTCCTTCTTGGCCTACCAACAGCTTAACAGGAAATGCATACCAACCACCCCTTCCACCCAGTAGATGAGTGGTTTTGTTTTAGATCCTGTAAATAAAATGATTCAGATGAATTTACCCTATCTATCCCCATAAAAGGCTGAGAAAGAAGAATTGCCTAACTATTCAAACTCTCTTCTCCTCACCTCCCTCAAATGTCCTCCCCATCAGCCCTCTCTGTTTAAACTAGGGCTTGTGCAAACAAGAAAGAGATGGTCTCCCAAAATGAAATATAGGCAACCAAGCCCTTTTATTTCTTAGATGTGAATTCCAGTTGCCAATCTCAAGTAAATAAACTCTATGGGAAACATACACCATGACTCTAAGAATATTTATTGTACAATTCTCTAAAATTGTTCTGTTATCTTCATGTCATAAGGTATAGATTCTACCATATTTGTTACAACTAATGACTCCCTCTAATGGAAGTGAATTTCCCCATGTGGCTTGTAAGGTTTTTTTTGTTTGTTTGTTTGTTTGCAAGCTCATCTATAGTATGAATTGCCTTTACTGGAACTTTTTTTGTTTTTTTCTTTTTTCTTTTCTTTTTTTTTGCTCTGAGCTGTTGAGTTTTTGTAGTGTTGCCACCAGGATTGTAGAGAATTTATGCTCTGCCCTCATGTGTGATACAAGGTTAAGTTTCCATTTGTTATGGGTGGATCTTTATTTTTCAGCCAAAAATCCCCCCAAAATGGCTTCTTTGATAAATCACGATATTCCAATGGCTAGGCATGTTCTACTACTTCTTTTTTTTTTTTTAATTTGTACATATTTATTATCTACGTCTGAAAGATAAGAACTTGAAAAATTACCAAGTGAGTATATAATTATCCAAACTGCAGTCTTTTGATTTGCACAGTTGCCATACTGGATTTAACTCTGATCAACATATGTAAACTTGTAAAGTCCTGAGTGAACACAGATATATGGTTATCTTGTCCATTTACTACCAATGAAACTCCCAAGGTTTTTGGTACACCAAAACCTACTTTGTGAAAGTTTAACATCCTTGCTAAATCTTTTCTGCAACTCAATTTTCATGCTTCTTATGTCCCATTTAATTTGAATCACTCATTATTCTCATTTTGTTGGAGGTATATTTTTCCTTTGTCTTCGTGACTGGAATGGCCTTTTCACTAATACCTCTTCTCCTTATGATGTTTTAATCCTATATGTCTTTCTGGGCCCAGTGTAGATAGTAATTCTTATATGAAGTCTTTGTTGACCCCTTTAGCTTACAGCAACTTCTCCTTCTAAATCCCCTAAAGATAACATTTCCCGCTGTCTGTTGGCAGAGCATTAGATTTTCAACATACTTTGCAAATCAGGATGCCCTGATCAAATATGCTTAGAAAATGCTACCTTCTGTTGAGACTGGCAATGGTGATTAGTATTTTGTCTGTTTAAATTTATTTAATACATTTCTTTATTTCCTATATTTATTTGATAACAGACCTCATTTGTTTTTTTTTTTTTTTTTACAAGCAAATGGAGAACAAAAAAAAGCAGGGGTTGCAATCCTAGTCTCTGATAAAACAGACTTTAAACCATCAAAGATCAAAAGAGACAAAGAAGGCCATTACATAATGGTAAAGGGATCAATTCAACAGGAAGAGCTAACTATCCTAAATATATATGCACCCAATACAGGAGCACCCAGATTCATAAAGCAAGTCCTTAGAGACTTACAGAGAGACTTAGACTCCCATACAATAATAATGGGAGACTTCAACACTCCACTGTCAACATTAGACAGATCAACGAGACAGAAAGTTAACAAGGATATCCAGGAATTGAACTCATCTCTGCAGCAAGCAGTTCTACTACTTCTTTACAGGATAGGTGGCACACTGCTTCATTCTTTCCAATCTCCCTGGCGTGCCTCATTTCCCATCTCGAGTTAGTGTTAAATGCCCTAGCTTTGATGGCATATACCCTGTTCTGATATGCCAGTATTTTTATAAGCTTGATTTTCTACTCTCTACTTTCATTTCCCTCTTTTTCTTTTTCTGACACCTGAGGTTTTATATACATGTGTTACAGATCAGCTATGAATTAAAAATGTTTCCTTTATATTTTTAACATGCATTTTGATATAACTGAAATAGGATACATTGGGGGGTTACCTCATCAGCTCCATCTACTATTTTGAACAGAACTTTACTTTTTTATTTGTACTTTCCTTCAAAACCACTTTGAATTCTGTGATTTCAAAGTAATTTTAAGTTCCAAACTGTTAAGCTTAGCAGTTATTCTAAGTGGCTTTTAGCTCCAATTCGGGCTTCAAGACTATATTTTATTTTGCAAAGGTGACCTGTAAAGCTGGTACATTCAGCCTCTCCAGCTGTGTCCTTCAGATGCATTGAGGACAGAAGAGGCCATCCATTCTGACGGTTAAATCAGCAAGGTAGTTCATTACCTCAATCTGCACCAAAGTTAATAAGACACATTACCAATCATGCCTTCTTGTCTTCAAAGCTCTAAGGTACCCTCAGGTATTTAAGAAGATATTTATATTTTCCCACTGGGATCTTTGCCCAGAATGAAGACAGCCTGTAGTCCAGCAGGAGCTGGAAATGACCCAGATTTAAGATTTCTATCACCTTTTAAAGCAAAATACTTAATTTCACTTTTTGCAATAAACTGTACGTAAGATACCAAGCAAGTATAAAAGGTTGGTACATTTGCCAGGCAGGTGAGACTGATACTTTTCATCAGATAGAGATCTAATACTCTGTCGTTTTGAGGGCTATGAACAAAGAGAACTTGGGGAAATTTGATTAATTGTTTAGATCCTCCTAAAATAAATCTTCCTTTCAAGCCTTTAGTTTTGGTTGTAGTTAGTGAGGCGGGGGCAGATGGTGGTAAGTGTTGATGATTGCTCCATTGTACTTACTGTACTTAATAGGTTCGTCCAGTAGTTACAATTACAAAGCTCACAGAATATGACCATTTTTATATTCTTACCTTCTCTTGCATTATTCTATCTTTTCCCCAATAGACATAATCACCATGTAGACAGCTCCCTTTGTTATTCCTTTGTTTAAAAAAATTCACACACATATGAATGAAAAAACAATTGTGCTTAATTTCATTATTACAGTAATGGTAAACTATAACATAGTTTTTTTTAGGACTTGGTCTTTTCACCCAACATATTTGTGTCTGAGATTCATTCTTATGGTTCTTTTTGTATTCCTTGTTAAAAGATAATAGTGTATTTTTCCATTCTCCTTGCAGTGGACATTATTTCTTTTTTTTTTTTTTTTGATTACTAGAAAAAGTGCTGAAATGATCATTGTTGTAACAGTCTTGTTATCCATGGTAAAAAGTTTCTCTGAGGATATGTATATCAAAAAGTGGAGTTGTTGTCTTGATGGGTATGTGAATGTTCACCTTAGAATAACAAATTGTTTTCCGAAATGGTCATTCCAGTACACACATCCATCAACAGTAAATACAAATTTTTGTTGATGTATATCTTCTGTCACACATGGAATTGTCAAACTTCTCATTTGTGTCAACCAACGTGGTATCTCATTGTAATCCTGGCCTACATGTCCTTGATTACTGATGAGGTTGAACATATCTTCATGTTTATTGTATATACATATTTCTCCTTAAGATTTTGGTTCAGGTCTTCTTTTCATTATCGATTGGGTTATTCATCTTTTATTTGACTTACTGTGATTATTTTTCATATTCTTATGTGTTACAAATGTTGCAATTGTTTTCTTCGAGTTTGAGGCTGTTTTTCAATTACTTGATGGTGTCTTTTGATGAATAGAAGGTTCTAATTTTAATGTAGTCAAATGTATTCATCTCTTTTATGGTCAGTTTTTTTACAAGATGTCTTACTTAAGATACTCTTCTCTATGCCAAAGTCAGAGATATTTTCTTCTATATTTTCTTGTAGAAATTTTCAAGTTCTGCTTTTTTATGAGTACTTCTGTATATAAATCAGTTTCATAATACAAATCAATGGCCATTGAAAATAATCAAGCCTTTGAATTAGTACTAATATTTCTGATAACATACCTCAAGGAAATAATAAGAAAGTGGAAAAATAGTCCATATTCATGATGATGTTTACCATAAATTTATAATAGCAAAACTAAAAGTAGTCTAATAAATGTATATTGCTAAACTAAGAGCCACTTTAATGAAGTCTCAGATTTTCATTAAAAATATGTCTTCTTAGTAATAGAGAAAATTGTATGATATAGTGTTTAGTGAAAAGAGTGCTATAGTTAAACTCATTTAAATTTTAACTATCAAATTATATATGTTAAATTTCAGAGGAGGTCACAGAATACTGGTAACAGTGATGTGTGAGGGAGTTAGATTTACATATATGCTTTTACATATGCTTTTATTTTTCTATTTCCCAGACTGCAATGTTGGTGCATATTTTTGTTTTAAAAAGTAAATTACTGTATTTTGAATTCGTCCATTATTCATGTAATAAAATGTTTTCTTAATGACTTTTAATTATAGAGGTATTAGATGATCAAAATGACTAGCTGCATTTTAAATTATCTGCTACAAAGTAAAGGTGAAAAATATAAAGTGTTTTGTTTTCAGAAGTTTTAAAAAATGAAATGGCAAAGTTTCGCATTTACTTTTCTACCATAATATTTAATCTGTGATATATATTTCTTTCTCAGGAAGTTTGGGCATGTTGGCATGAGTTATTGTCATACTTGGAGAAAGCAAATAAGTGGCTAAATGAAGTTGAATTTAAACTTAAAACCACTGAAAACATTCCTGGCGGAGCTGAGGAAATCTCTGAGGTGCTACATGTAAGTTGTAAATTAAACCAAATAATGATAATTTATATGCATTATTAAAAGAGGTCAAGTACCAAATAAAAGACAAATCCAAAGAAAACAACCCAAGAGAGTATAATTACTGTGTTATCACTCAGCATTGGTACTTTGGACAAAGCCTTTGTTCCCCCTAAGAACCTTCTAGGTCACACGATTTTGCAAAGGGTTTAAATAACCTCTTACAGAGAAAATTTGCCTTTATTATATCACTAAGTTCTACATAGATACTTTACCTAATTAAATCTACCACAAACCTGCAAAGACAGTGTGAATAAGCAATATCACTGCTTTAGGGCTAATCAGGATGATAATATGAAACATTATTTCCAGTTTAAAAGCTGCATGTATTGAATTGGAACATATTTTATACTTACTTAAAATCACAAATTTACACCTTACAGAATGTTTTGAGTTATTAAATGGATATGCTTTAATATTGGAAATATATCTTTAAAATATTCATAAAATGTAACTACACTTTTAAGTTTTACTTTGGAGACTTTTAATAATTAAATTTTAAATGAGTTTGCATTTATAAACTTTGACTTATTTTAACTTCTGACATTGAGTCATTCAAGCTCTATGCATTTTAGTGTACTTTTGACTTATCTATATGTAATGAACATGTTGTTTTAGAATAGTATGTGTACATAAAGCTATAAGTAGTATAGCCCCTGTGTAAATCTATAAAATAAAGAGCATAAGTTATTCAAGATGTGAAGAAAATGTAAAATATTTCTTTAGACAGAATAGAATTGTAATTCTAAGACATCAGAGCAGACACCTATGGATCATTTTATTCAACTTCCTAATTCTCGAAAGAAAATTATAAAACCTGCAAAGGTATTAAAGTACAATAAATGAGGTCTTCAGTGGGCTTTAATTTTGGCCCTATTTGACTAATCATGACTATAAATTTGTCGTATTCAGAGAAGTTAATTGACCAAACATTTCTTGTGAATCAACAATGTGTTACATGTTCTAGAAAAGATGCAGTAAACTTACAGCACATTAATAAAAGGACAGTGGCCAGAACAGAAGATATGATGATGTTGTTATCCTATGAAGTTGTCAAATTGTACATGGAGCATCATGCTGATTTCTTGATATCACAGTTTAAGTGATGCACTGAAAAACTAGGGCATGTTCAAAAATGAATGTTAAGGAACGAGAGAAAATTTGAAGCCATAATCAAGAGTATTTAGAAAAGATGGGGGAAAAAAAACCTCACCATTACTATTTACTATTTTAGGTAAGGCCCTCACAATGCCCACAACACAGACAAGCAGGGAGGAGGAGGATTGCAAGTGCTCTTATCTTTTATTCCTATCTTGTGGTCATAATTTCTGATTGTTCCTAATTCAGATAATGGGGCCAGTAAAGGAGATTCCACAGTGAAAAAATAAACAAACACATACATAAAATTGGTTCTTTGGTAGTGTTGCTGATGCTCATCCAGGAGGACATTTTGAGTGAAAAGGGCTAGATCACCATGAATCAAGGATAGAAAAACTGCATGACTTCTAGGTTTTCTTGCAACTCAAGATATTTATAACTGATCCCTTAATTTTGCTTTGTTGCTTTTTATCCACCTTTAAAAAAATTTAGCAAGGTATATACTTCGTTACGTCTTATAAAATAAAGTATCCATTAAAATTATTTACATCCATTTTGCAAATAAATATTTACAAAATTAAGATTTGTTAAAAATAGTAAGGAATACAAATTATAAGGAAAATTATTAACAATTTCATTGTTCTGCTCAAAAATTTGATGGCTTTTTAAGTATTTTACAGGTTATGGTGATGTTTTAAATATAAATGTATTTAGGAAGTCTCTATATTTTTATTTCCTTGAAACTTAATAGGAAAATATATTGAGGTTGCTCAAAATTCAAGAAAAATGCATAAACAGGAAAAATTATAAATATGTGTTGGGACATTTTCATTTCTTTAAAACAAGGAAAACAGAATATTTAATAAATGTGTTAAAACATATGCCCATCGCTTATTCTACAGATATGTTTGAGGTCCAGTAAGATGAAATTGAATCCCTTGTTTTCCAGCATGCCTGCATTTGACACTGAGATTCACTTTCATCATATTATCTAGCCAGGCAACTTTGTTAATTTTCAGCAGTATAGGAGATGGATATTATTGGGATATACATAACAGAAAATCAGACAATGGCTTAAGCTCACAAAATAATCTTTTCTCACCACAAAAAGAATAGTGAAGGGAAGTTACCCAGGGATGAGGATGGTTCAGCCATATTATGGGGCGAGTAGGCACTCTCTTTCTGCTCTCTATTCCTGAGCGTGAAGGACCTCACACTCAGAGTCATAGCCTCCCCGTGCAAAGATAATTGTTACACCTCCAGGCCATGCATGTGCAAAAAAGTAGGAAGGGCAAAAGGATTCTTCTTGAGAGAGTACTCCTTTTCAAAATTGTGTCACTTGGACACCACTAGCTATCAAAGAAGGTGAGAAATTTAGTGTTTTACCTCTTCAGGTTTTAGAGTTAGGGGACAGCAAGGAAAAAGGTGGTTGTGAATCAAGTTTTAAGTTCTCAGTCCACAACACTGTCATAATCCCATGAAGATTCCTGTAGAATGACATCCTATTTTTTGAAGCAAAAATGCTCCTTGGTGTTTTTAATCCTAATTAAAATTTGCTTTAGATTGATTATGACTTAATTATATGTAAATCAGAAGATACTGAGCATTGTGTGATAATTCAATGTATTTAGGAAGAAAAGAGAAATAGTAATTATTGCAAATGTGTTTCAGTCACTTGAAAATTTGATGCAACATTCAGAGGATAACCCAAATCAGATTCGCATATTGGCACAGACCCTAACAGATGGTGGAGTAATGGATGAGCTGATCAATGAGGAACTTGAGACATTTAATTCTCGTTGGAGGGAACTACATGAAGAGGTATGAAAATAAGTGAAAAATCTCCTTAATCTAGTTTGCATTAATGTATAGCAGATACAGGCCTCTCAGATAAAATGAGCAATACTTTAAATATTAGCTTTCAGGTTTCAGAGACAGTCCAAGGCCAGACACTGGGTAAATTCTTTACATGTGTATTATATCATGTGATTTCACAAAAACATTATAAGTTAGGATTTTAAAAAGGCAACTGAGACATACCAAGGATAGTAACCTTCTTGGGTCTACATACTCTGACCACAGACTTCTTTTTCCTGTTCAAGATAATCCAGTATGTGTGGGTATCCTTTCTCACTTGCTCTCTCATTTTATCCCTCTCCCTCCACTCCACACACATTTGTTATGTCATATGTAATCTGCTAATAATACATGCAATTCTGTTAGTACCCTGTATTATTTGTTCTTCACAAATAACACTAAATTTCTTATAGATAAATTTTCATACATCACACATGGTGCGATTTTTCAAATCAATACTAAAACAAAATAGCAAATTTCTCCTAGTCAGTGTTTTGCATACTCTCTCCTAAGGATGAATTATTTGTTAAGAAGAAAACCTATTTTATAATAATGTTTAGTTTTATATTCACTTACTGAGTTACAGCTACTACAGGTGAGATATGGTTCTATGGTTTGATAATAAAAATTTCCTATCCTTCATAACTTATAAACATTGATTAGTTAAGGAAAAGTTATTGATTTCCTAGAATGTGCAAGACATAAAAACAAATAAGGTATGAAGAGAAAAAGAATAAGGAGGGTAGTAACTAGGAGAGTATGCAAGAAACCATTGACTATTTAATGATTCATTGAATAGTCAATGTCGGGGACCTTTTGACATGCCTACAGATTGAAGAGGGGGAACATCTTGAGTAGGAAAGCCTCTTCTCTAATTCTGAAGAGAAGTAGGTGAGGGTGGGGCAGATATCTGCAAATGTACAGGCAACGGCCTCCAGTTTGGAATCCTGCCACTATATTTGGTGGGTGGCATATCCATATTTTATCCAAATCAACATAAGGAATTGGGGATTGGAAAAGGGGTAATCCAATCAATCTCTTGATCCTTCATCACTGTTGCACTATTGCTGGATCTGAGTCAAATAGATATGGCTATGTGGCAAGTAAATTGAAGATCATTTCAATGTGGGTTTTGATATGGAATTGGAATGTGTTTTTGTTTCTATTTGAATATTAGTGTCAGGTAGGAGAGAGCAGTTCAGGCAAAAAATTAAAAGTCGTTGTAAAACTGACCTTGGCTTAGCTGTGAAAAGACTCTTTTGTTGAGACAGGGTCTTGCTCTGTCACTCTGACTGGAGTGCAGTGGCATGATCATGGCTCACTGTAGCCTCAACCTCACTGGGCTCAGGTGATCTTCCCACCTCAGCCTCCTGAGTAGCTGGGACTACAGGTGCATGCTGCCATTCCCGGCTTTTTTTTTTTTTTTTTTGTATTTATTTTTGGTGACATGTGGTTTTGCCATGTTGTCCAGGCTGGTCTTGAACTCCTGGGTTCAAGCTATCCACTTGCCTTGGCCTCCCAAAGTGCTGGGACTACAGCTGTGAATGGCCACACCTGGCCGAGATCCAACTTTAATGTTTGACATTTTTCAATGCTCATCTATTCTGTCCTTAGGAATAGCTTAGTCTCTAATTTTACCTTGGTATTAACTCTATTAATGTAATTATCTTGCAATCCTTTATTAACACAAAACTACTTATAACCTTCTATTTCAAAGGTTGTTGGTATAAAACCTGACATTTCCCCCAAATAAAAAATAATTCAGTTCAGCAGCATACCTTGGTTCAACACCTATTCTCTTATTTTCTGGACTGAGTTGTTAAAACATAAAAATTTGAATAAGAAAATACTTGAAACTTGGTCTAGTAAAACCCCTTGTATTAGTCAGGGTCCAGACAGGCCACAGAAACCACACAGTCACTTAAACAGAGAATTAAGTATTAACTACTTACTGGAAATTAATTTTAATAGAGAATAAAAGAGATCTCTAAAGAATACCCTAAGCCTGAGGAATAGTACCCAAAAAAGGAACTAATATGGAAAGATAGGAGCTCAACCCAAGGCTGGATTCGGACTTCTTTAGAAAGGGTGTGTCTGCCTCCCATGGGATGACAGAGAAGTTTCCTTCATTGACCCAATCCAGAACAAGTCTATAGCCAGTGGGCTGAAGCTAGTGTGAAGAGAATATTGGAGTGGAATGCTGACAAAATTCAGAGAAGTAGCCTATGGTGGGGAACCATTGAATTTGCTAGAAAGCTGGCTGGTGTATTCATTGGACATGTTGGGAAACTACCTGTAGTGGATGCTGCTAAACTTGAGGAAATGAGGTGGGGCTCCAGGAAGCTACCTATGGATTTGCCACCCATCCTCAACTCGCTTGTTGGGTACCCATAGAACTTGTCAAACACGACCCATAGTGTTGCTGGAAGTCTTTTGGGTAAAGCGGGGGGATGAGGTGAGCCTTACTGGGCATTCCATAGGCCAACCTAGAGGCACAGGATTGAAAAAGAATTGAAAGCACACTGGAACAGACAAACCTCTACCTCCCCCATTGTCACTCCAGCACCCTTTACTGATAGAACTTAATAGCATGCCAGCTGACAAGGGGAGAAATATTCCCATATCAAAACCAGGATTATGTTGAAAGGCAAAAAATTGATAACTGGCAAATCCCTCTGTAATTCACTGGCTATGTGATCTTGAGTAATATTTTTAAACTTCCATTTCCTCATCCTGTTTCATGGGGGTTTTTTTTGTGAACAAAATATAAAATGCTGCACTTAAAGTACTTACTATGGTTCCAGGAACATAGTGCATATTCAATAAATTATTCAATAAATTTAATAAATTATTTTATCTTTACTAGATCATATGCTAGAGTATCAGCCCTCAAAAGTGTGTGTGTATGTGTGTGTGTGTTTGGGTATAAATATATACATAATAGTACATATGTGAATATATCTATAAATAAATATATATGTGTGTGTGTGTGTGTGTGTATATGTATATATCCCTCTGAGGGCAGCGATAGGTAAATAAATGCAGATAGTACAATATGAAATACAATGAAATGCACATGCCTCCATTAGTTAAATAAAATGCTAAGATAGATAAAAAGGATTTTTATCACCCTCTAAGCCATAAAATCAGAACCTCTCCACTTCAACCTCAGTGATCAATTAAGCAGACTGTTAAAATAACAATAAATCTAAAATAAATAAATTTGAAACTATTATCAGTCCTAGCTGTGTTTATATTACATATTTGGCCAGTAATTTGAAGTTATTTGACAATGAAAATAAAGCATATGTAGTCTTTACCGTTTTCATGAAAACCACATCGTGTTAAACATGATATGCTTCTCAAATTCTGTTGTATCAGCATGTAATAAACTGATGTGACCTTAGAGATACAATGTTAAATTAAAACAATGTGTAATAATAGGACTTTTGTATTTCTCAGGCTTTACTCAGCACTTTGATCAATTCCAAACTACTTAGGTAATAAAGACACACCTATATTTTGTTAGCTAAATCAATCCTTTGGATATTTCCACTATCTAGTTAAAAAGACTGGTGTTTTGATGCAGTAGAATGAGCCTTGGGATACATTATCTGATGGGCTGAAGAAACAAAATGGTTCATTAATGTGTTATAATCAAGAATTCTGAATTTGTTTTAGGCCATGATTTTCTTGATTTTTGGTTGGTTAAAGAAAAGCAGATTTTATTTTATTTTATTTTATTTTCTATTTTTATTTATTTATTTTTGAGACAGAGTCTCTCTCTGAAGCCCAGGCTGGAGTGCAATGGCACGATCTTGGCTCACTGCAACCTCCGCCTCCTGGGTTCAAGCGATTCTCCTGCTTCAGCCAGTTTTTCTATTAATAAACAAAGTACCCTTTAATTTGAGGACGAGCCTTAACCCATTTTTAAAAATCAATTAAGTGCCTATGTCAGAGGTTTGCGAGGTTTTTATATTGCCTACCTAATGTTTCTTATAGCTGCAATTATGCAGAACTAAGGTAACATTCAATTGCCTGTTAAATCAATCAAACAGCCAGACTTTTATTGCCTATGAATATTTAAAAGAGATTCACTAGATCCCATTCCTAATTTCAGAGTGTGAGTTTGCATTCAAATAAGTAATAAATTATTTCCATCACTTCAAAAGGCATCTTTCATTCTTGATAATCATATGGCAGTATATTTTCTACTCACAGTAACGATTTGAAAGATGGTTAGCAAACCAGGCAACATCTCCAAAAGACATACCAAATCATATAATTTTTACAACTATTATAATAGCTTTATTCTCTAACAGGGTAACCAAGCAGCTGAAGGTGTTTTAGTAATGCAACAAAATGAATAATAATGTTGGTAATAGTATTTGGTTACAGAGGTCCAGGTACTGTTTTTATGTCAGACATCCATTTTCTCATTTAGTTCTCACAATAGCCTTATGATACAGGGTGGTGTTTGTTTTTGTTTTTTCTTTTTTTAAGATGGAGTCTTGCCCTGTCACCCAGGCTGGAGTACAAGGGTGCTATCTCAGCTCACTGCAATCTCTGCCTCCCGGGTTCAAGCGATTATCCTGCCTCAGCCTCCCAAGTAGCTGGGATACAGGCACATGCCACTATGCTGGGCTAATTTTTGTATTTTTAGTAGAGATGGAATTTCACCATGTTGGCCAGGCTGGCCTCAAACACCTGCCCTCAGGTGATCCACCCGCCTTGGCCTCCCAAAGTGCTGGGATTACAGGTGTGAGCCCCTGCACTTGGCCGATATAGTGTTTTTTATATTCCCATTCTATAGAAATGGAAAGGATAGTAAAGGCCCTAGGAAGAACCGATTGAGCATTTAGACCCATCTCTTTATACTTGAAGCCTAGGCACATGACCTTTTGGCTACACTACCTCCAATCTCTGTGACCCTTTTCATGCATTAAATATAAAAACTCTCTGCT